GCGTTGGTGGTGTTGGTTGGTGTTGCGGGTTGGCGGCGTTGGTGGCGTTGGTGTTGGTGGCGTGGGGCGTTGGCGGGTTGGCGTGGTGTGTGGCGGTGTTGGCGGCGTTGGTGGCGTTGGTGGCTGTTGGTGGTGTTGCGTTGGTGGTGTTGGCGTTGGTGGTGTTGGTGGCGTTGGTGGTGTTGGTGCGTTGGTTGGTGTTTGGTGGTGTGTGTGGTGTTGGTGGCGTGTTGGCGGGTGTTGGTGGTGTTGGCGGCGTTGGTGGTGTTGGTGGCGTTGGCGGCGTGGGGCGTTGTGCGTTGGTGGCGTTGGTGGCGTTGGTTGGCGTTGGGTGTTGGTGGTGTTGGTGGCGTTGGTGGTGGTGTTGGGCGGCGTTGGTGGTGTTGGCGGCGTTGGCGGTGTTGGTGGCGTTGGCGGCGTTGGTGGCGTTGGCGGTGTTGGCGGCTGTTGGTGGTCGTTGGTTGGTGTTGGTGGCGTTGGCGGCGTTGGCGGGTGTTGGTGGCGTTGGCGCGTTGGTGGTGTTGGCGGCGTTGGCGTTGGGTTGGCGGCGTTGGTGGCGTTGGTGGCGTTGGCGGTGTTGGCGGCGTTGGTGGCGTTGGTGGTGTTGGCGGGCGGTGTTGGCGGCGTTGGTGGTGTTGGTGGTGTTGGCGGCGTTGGTGGCGTTGGGTTGGCGTTGGCGGCGTTGGTGGTGTTGGTGGTGTTGGCGGCGTTGGTGGTGTTGGTGGCGTTGGTGGCGTTGGCGGGCGTTGGTGGTGTTGGCGGCGTTGGTGGTGTTGGTGGTGTTGGCGGCGTTTGGTGGTGTTGGTGGCGTTGGCGGGGTGTTGGTGGTGTTGGCGGGCGTTGGTGGTGTTGGCGGCGTTGGTGGCGTTGGCGGCGTTGGCGGCGTGGTGGGCGGTGTTGGCGGTGTTGGTGGTGTTGGTGGCGTTGGCGGCGTTGGTGGTGTTGGCGGGGTGGTGGCGTTTGGTGGTGTTGGGCGGTTGGTGGTTTGGCGGCGTTTGGCGGCGTTGGTGGTGTTGGTGGCGTTGGTGGTGTTGCGTTGGTGGCGTTGGTGGTGTTGGCGGCGTTGGTGGTGTTGGCGGGTTGGGTGTTGGCGTGTTGGTGGTGTTGGCGGCTGGTGTTGGCGGTGTTGGTGGTGTTGGCGGCGTTGGTGGTGTTGGTGGCGTTGGCGGGCGTTGGCGGCGTTGGCGGACGTTGTTGGGACATTTCCTGTTTGGTTCCTGTTTCTCGGGGCGGATGATGAACACACCCGACTCAACTCCGAGGGAAGTAACACCGCTCGTCTTTACTCCAGGTCACAGGGTCAGACGCAGTTAAAGCTCAGTGTTATTTTTACACATAAACATGTATGAAGAGTCTGAACGTGTTCCAACAGGAAGTGAGCACGGGCGAGATTCCGGCTCCATCCAATCTGGTTCCAGCTCATTTTGTCGTTTGAGACGAGCGAAACACACAAACAGAACAACAACAGAACACAACACAACACAACAGAACACACAACACAACAGAACACAACACAACAGAACACAGAACAGAACACAACACAACAGAACAGAACACAACACAACAGAACAGAACACAACACAACAGAACACAACAGAACACAACACAACACAACAGAACACAACACAACAGAACAGAACACAAACACAGAACAGAACACAACAGAACACAACAAACAACACAAACACAACAGACAGAACACAACAGAACAGAACACAACACAACACAAGAACAAACACAACAGAACACAACACAACAGAACACAACACAACAGAACACAACACAACACCACAACAGAACACAACACAACAGAACACAACAGAACACAACACAACACAACAGAACAGAACAGAACACAACACAACACAACAGAACACAACAGAACAAACACACAAACACACAACAGACACAACACAACAACACAACAGAACAGAACAACACAGAACACAACACAGAACACAACACAGAACACAACAGAACACAACAGAACACAACAAACAAAACAAAACAACACAACAGAACACAACACAACAGAACACAACACAACAGAACAGACAACACAAACACACAACAGAACAACAACACAACAGAACAGAACACAACAGACACACACACACAACACACACAACAGAACAGAACACAACACAACAACAGAACACAACACAACAGAACACAACACAACAGAACACAACACAACAGAACACAACACAACACAACAGAACACAACACAAACAGACAGACACAACACAACAGAACACACACAACACAGAACACACACACAGACAAACAACAAACACAACACAACAGAACACAACACACACAGAACAACACAACAGAACACAACACAACACAACAGAACAACACACACACAACAGAACAGAACACAACACAACACAACAGAACACAACAGAACAGAACACAACACAACACAACAGAACACAACAGAACACAACACAACACAACAGAACAGAACACAACAGAACACAACACAACAGAACAC